GGGGGCCGGCGGCATGGCTAAGGAGGGAGAGAGTTATGGAGAGGGAGAGAAGGTTTCCAAATTGAGAATTTGATTTGAAAAATTCTGAAATAAAATCCAAATAAAATCTTAACTTAAAATTTGAATTTATTCGAAAACTTTTCAAAAATAGATTTCCACATTTGGAAAGAAATTGAAACTTGAAAATCAAATTTCAATGAGGGGTTGATTGAGGAGGTGGAGTGGTGGTGGTGGAAGGGGAGGAGGACCGGCGGCAAGGAGGCCGGCCGGTGAAGTTGGTGGTCGGCAAGGAGGTCTAGGGGCGGCGGCAAGAGGAGGGGTTGATCCATCTTCTTCCGAGTTGATGGTGTGGATGGCGTCGCTTGTGGGTGAGGCGAAGATCAATGGAACCAATACACGGAGAACTCACAAAGAGATCTCATGTTAAGAACTCACTAAGAGATCTTGGAACTCACAAAGAGATCACACAATGGAAAATTTTCATTCATTCAATAATAATCCCAAATACAATGACAAAGCCTTTTATATAGGCTATCTAGAAATAAAATACATAAAGACGACAACGCCCTTGGGCTACAATAAACACTAATTCCCTCATAGGGGTACAAAAGGAAAAAAAAACATGAAATATAAATGACATGAATAAAATAAAACATCAAAAATAAAGGCTCTGAATCATGACTGTCGATCGGCGTCTCCGGCGATGATACACGTGTCGAAATCTGTTGTCCCCATCATATTCATTCAACAAAATAGTAACATAACATTAACAAAATGCAGTTTTTTGTTCTTACGAAATGTAGAAACCATTATTTCAATTCCTTGATGGTTGACTTGTTTTTTTTTGTTTTGCTTGTAAAGGGAGTTCCTGATTTATCAGAATATGGTGATGTCAGTATCATGGAGTATTCTTTAGGGCCCGACAAACCCCCAACAAGTGTTGCTTTGCGTGAGGAATTCCAACGCAAGATACTCTACCACTTGAGCCCAGTTGAGGTTGGTTAATTATCTCTCTCTCTCTCTCTCTCTCTCTCTATTTAGATATATATCTGTTTGTTTATAAACGAATTGGTATTGTATTTGTATAGGATTCAGTGTTGGCCTCAATGCTCCTAAGGCCATCACCATGCCTTGCACTGAGTACAGCAAAATTTGAAGGAAATATAAGCCAAGTAAGGAGAATTTATATAAGGACAACTCATGACAAAATGGTTAAGCCAGAGCAGCAAGATGCGATGATCAGGAGATGGCCACCGCATGAAGTGTTTATCATAGATACAGATCATAGCCCTTTCTTTTCTTCTCCACAGAAGCTCTTTGAACTTATTGTAAGAGCTTCTACCATTTGATAGAACTTTGAAAGCTTTCTATGTATGTTATGGAGGAATTTGAGCTTCATGGCCAAACTTATATGATTGTTCTAATAAATTTCACTCTTCATCTTTTAGAAAATAAATTGGTTCAGGTTACAGCCCAAAATAAGCAAGTCGTCGCTGGCTGCCATCGTCTCCACCACTCATTGCTGCCATTGTTATCACTCGATATCAATTGTCGCTACAGCCAACTATAAGCCATCAATCACCATCATTGTTAGGCTTTATACTGCATCTATTTTATTTCAAAAAAAAAAAAAATCACTTGCATTTATTTCACATTCACCCAATCAATTTTAAATATGTCAAATACATTGATTTTTTTTATGTTGTATCCTATTTTACTATGCATTCATTTTTCATCCAATCAAATGTGTCAAGAAATTTTTATATAGAAATATCTTTTTTTCACATAAATACTTAATAAGAAATTCCTTATTAAAATATTATTAAAAATGTCTTAATAATTAATTTGTAGACTTTATTTTGCATCAAAATTTATGTATATCCAAGAATAAATTATGAATTAATTTTTGAGATGAAAAATAAAAAAAATTAACATATGAATTATTTTTCATATTATGTTCAATAAGCCTCTTCCATAATTTGCCATAACATTTTATGCAAATTATCTTTGGGTTAAAACTTAAAAATTCTTTAATTTGTAGCAATGGTAATTAAACTTATAAAAATTTATCGTGCTGCTTTGAACAGATGGCCTATTAGCTCAGTTGGTTAGAGCGTCGTGCTAATAACGCGAAGGTCGCAGGTTCGAGACCTGCATGGGCCAAAAGCAGAGAATATAAATTTTTTATTTTTTTAAAAAAAATGTAGACTATTCAGTATTCACATCCAACTTATAATTTCAATAAAATTAAAATATATTTTGCCAGTTTAAATTAAAATTTTTTCTTTTTTATTTTTGACAGTAGGGAGAATATTGTCAAGGATTTTTTCTTTATAATAAATTTTTTTATTGGATAGCTTTGTAATACTTTGAGTTATTAATTTTAAAAACAAAATGAAAATTCATAAAAAGAATTATATAATTGAGGTTTAATTTAGATAACATAAGAAATTTATTGATATATTAGTGATATGACTCTTATAAGTTTTCTTATGAGCTCTCAAAATTTTATTAAAATCTAATTCAAAATAAATTTCATTTAAAACTTCACCATAATTCTTTAATTTCCAGTTTAGGCTCTCATAATGAACTGAAATAAAAAATATTAATAATTTTAGATTAATTTCACTTTGATTATATTTACTTATGTTTTAAAAAATAATAATTTATTTTAAGTCCTTTCTGATATGAAATAAAAATAAGTAGTCTCAAAAACTAAAATGTTTATATTTGAAGAGATTTTGAGGTGAATAGTGAAGTTTAAAGTGAATGTGAATTTTTCCCCTACAATCTTATTGAATGATGGATCTAATGTTTCATTTGGGACATTTTTTTACTGTTTTCTAAAGTAGCTTTTTAATACAGGCCCTTATATACTTATGTTTAAAAAAAATTATTTTAAGTCCTTTCTGATATGATATAAAAATAAGTAGTCTCAAAAACTAAAATGTTTATATTTAAAGAGATTTTGAGGTGAATAGTGAAGTTTAAAGTGAATGTGAATTTTTCCCCTACAATCTTATTGAATGATGGATCTAATGTTTCATTTGGGACATTTTTTTACTGTTTTCTAAAGTAGCTTTTTAATACAGGCCCTTATAGAGATACATCCAATATGCATAGCAATAATAGTTTAATATCCTATGAATTGCATTAATAGCTCATTTAGGGTTGGCTATGAAAATTGATTAGATTAAAGTTAATATTAAAGTTTCATTTGGGACAGTTTTTTTCACTACTTTTTAAAGAAGTTTTTTAGTACCAAGATTAAATTTTTGTACTAAAAAACTGCTTTAAGAAGCAGTAAAAAAGCTGTCCCAAAAGAAGATTTTGTTTTGGACAACTTTAGACTATTACCTTTTTCTCGCTTTTAAGAGATTTTTATCCTAAAAATCATCTTTAAAAACAGTAAAAAAATCATCCCAAACAAGGCCTAACTCTCAAGATAGATAAGCCAAGCCCTTTAGATCAAGTTTAAGGTTAAGTCCAAGTATATATATAACAAACTAAAATTGCATAGATTTAAACATTTAAAGTTTATAAATAAAATAATATGCATTAAAATTTAATATTACAGGCAAGCAAGCATTGCCACTTCTACTCAAAGTACATATTACAATTTGGTTTTGCTTTCTAGATTCAAAACATTCTAAATATGCATATGAAAGTCAAGATGTGCCGGGGGGGGTGGGGTTGAAATGGAGATACATCATGCATCATTCTTTGAAGATTCAGTGCTCAAGATTTGGTAGAATAAGTTATGTTAAATGAGTTTGTAATTTTTATTTTTTGAGTCAAGTCTTGCATTGATGTATGTTATGTAGGTGATCATACACACATACATGGGGAGCAAAAATAATTTTAAATATTTTAATTTTTCTGTACATCGTATTGTACGATCTACAGTAAAAGAAATTAATTTAATTTTTTTATTTTCCTAAAAAATATTTTTGAAATATAATTAATCATACAATACGAACACCACATTGTACTGAACGATCTGTTATATTTAGAAAGTCTGCCATCCAATAAATTAGGTAAAAATTTGAATTTGAAAAGTTGTCTTAATCGTATTGTAGAACATGATCATACTGTACGATGTTTAAAATATTGTCTAATTTAATCTTGTGATTAGCCAATCAAAACAGCTTAATTTTGATATTTTGATCGTAATGTATGAACTAGATCGTACTGTACGATCAACATAGACGATTTTGGTCGTCTCATGCTTCATCCTAGACGAACTACATTTTTATTGAACTATTTGTACAGTACTAACTGGACATTGTGCAGTACGAACAGACAATTAAACTTTTATACAGTAATAACTGGTGATCGTACATTACTAACAGGTCAAATTCTGCACATCGTACCAGACGATCTTGAGATCGAACTCTACGGTCTTTGACGGCTGAATTGATTTTTTAGAGCTTTTTTAAGCACTCTATTTAAGTTTTCTCATAAGATTTTGTAATAGTTTTTGACATACATTGAAGCATCATTTTTTTAGAGAAAATTTGAAGAGAGAACTAGAAAGGGAGAGAGAGAAAAAGGTGGAGTTTTAGAGATGGAGAAGATCTTTGGAGGGGATTTCAAGAGAGTGTGGAGGGGATTCCACACGGTTGCTCAGACAAGCTTGCACCTTAGTATCATCAGATACAAGGTTCATCTTGAGAGTAATTTTGGGAAGATGAAAATCTCTTTGATGTCAAAGAACTCGACTCCTCCGACGCACCGGGGAAGGTGGAAGTGATTTTGTAAGGGCTTCTCTGCCTAGCTGTGGGGGCTAAAAGAGAGTCACTAAAGGTTTAGTGCAATACTCAAAGGGTGCCTCTGGGGAGTGGACGTAGGTCAAGATTTGATCGAACCACTATAAATCTAGTGTGTTCTTTCATTTATTATTTCTGCATTTATTTTTGTTGCGATTAACAACATGGGTGAAATGTATAATTTATTTTTTTATTGTGAATGTAATTTGCTTCAGCATCAAGTTATAAAATAATTTTTCTTTTCATCAAATAAGTTTTCAAAATATCCAATTCAACCCCTCCTCTTGGCCCATCTCGGACTTTCAATTATGGTACATCGCGCGTACTGTATGATATGGATCGTACTGTACGATCTGGTGTAACATAAATTAATTAAAATATATTATTTTTCAAAAAAATATTTTTGAAATATAACTAATCGTACAATACAAATACTACATCGTATTAGATGATCTGTTATAATTAGAAAGCCCGCCGTCCATTAAATTAAACAAAAAATTAAATTTAAAAAGTTGTCCTAATCGTACAGTACAATGTTTAAAATATTGCCTATTTTTAATTTTGTGATTAGTCAATCGAAACAGCTTAATTTTGATATTTTGATTGTACTGTACGAACTGGATCGTAGTGTACGATCAATAGAGATGGTTTTGACCATCCCATGCTTCATCCTGGACGAACTGTATTTTTATTGAACTGTTCATACAATACTAACTAGACATCGTACATTACGAATATGCAAATTGAGCTGTTCGTACAACACTAACTAGTGATCGTACAGTACTAATAGGTTAAATTCTACACATCGTACCGGATGATCCTGAGATAGTACTACACGATCTTTGAGGTTTGAATTGATTTTTTAGGATTTTTGAAGCCCACTATTTAAGATTTCTCATAAAACTTTGTAAGAGTCTTTTGCATCCATTGAAGCTTCATTTTTCTAGGGAAAACTTGAAGAGAGAACTAGAAAGGGAGAGAGGAAAGGGTGGAGTTTGAGAGAGGGAGAAGATCCTTGGAGGGAATTTCAAGAGAGTGTGGAGGGAATTTCACACGGTTGCTCCAGCAAGCTTGCACCTCAGTACCATCAGATTCAAGGTACATCTTGAGGGAAGTTTTGAGAAGAAGAAGATCTCTTTGGTGTCAAAGGACACGGCTCCTCCGCCGCACTGAGGAAGGTGGAAGTGATTTTGTAAGGTCTTCTCCGCCTAGCTGTGGGGGCTAAATGAAAGAACACCCTTTTTATAGTGGTTCGGTCAAACCTTAACCTACGTCAACTCCCCAGGGGCACCCTCCGAGTATTGTACTAAACCTAGAAAAAAAAGGTAATCAATATTATTTGTTATCATCAAAATTATAAACTTGGAAGTCCGAGTTGCAACAACACACACTTTTTAATAACATGACATTATACTTCGACCTAAATTTATGAGAGAAATAATTATGCATCTTCAATAACCTATTGATTTCTTCAGGTGTGTAGTTATCTCTTGGAACATTTGCGGGGATAGAGAGTGATAAAATTTAGCATCATAGCTTTGTACGATATCCAACACACAAACATGTATAAATAAAAGATCACTTATTTTTTTTATTTTCTTAAAAAAATAAAATTTTTTTCTTTACATTACATCCAAACACAGCATAAAAGTTTATCATTTCACATTTAACATTATATTTCAATTTTGGCCTGTAGCATTGCACCACAATACTCAACATTACATATATAGCAATGCTAGAAAAAAAAAAAAAGTAAATCTCAATGTGATTTTGCATCACATGGCTGAGTCCTCTCTTTCAAATGGTAAATATTGAGAATCCCAAAATAGGTACGAGCCTCCACCATAAATATAAAACAATATCAGTGGAGGTTGAAGTGCAAAAGTTGGACTAAATTGTTGAGACGAAGAAGGGGATAGTTAGGGGTGTCAATTTCGGGTCACGGGTCGGGTTCGGGTCGAACCCGAACTGACCCGGGTGTGAAACGGGTCGACCCTAACCCGAACCGGGTAGAGAAACGGGTCGAAAAACCGAACCCGGACCCGACCCGGTCGGGTCGGGTTCAACCCGGATTTTCCGGGTCGGGTCCGGGTCGGGTTTTCGTGTCGTGTCAAATATTGACACTCTAGGGATAGTGATAAGTGATATGAGCTTGGTGAGTAAATATATTGGGTTTCTTTCTGATTAGAATCCTCTTGTTGCGAGATATGAAAACTATTTAGTATTAGGTGCTTCTATAGAGAGATTATTCTGTGCAGACATCAGACACATATTATCGTCCAGAGGCGAATCAAGTGCAGCCACGTCATCCAGTACCGAGCCGCGATAACGAGTAGGGGGTGACGTGACGCATTTTTCTTGGGCACTGAACGGCGTTCGACCTCCGCACAGAATAATTCATCACTTATTCTATGACATGTTAGATACTCCTCCATAAAGATAAGGCAATGCCGATGGAGGGTGAAGTGTAAAGTTGGACCAAACTGTTGAGACAAAGAAGAGGCTAGTGACAAGCCAACCAAGCTTGGTGAGGGAAGATCTTGGCTCTGATTTTGATGAGAATTCTCTTTCTATAATATTTGAAATGTATTTATTGTTGAGTGCTTCCATGATGTGCCGGGTAGGTGATTCAAAATTGTCATATCATATTCTCTCGATGAGTCTACCTGCAACTCTAACTAAAGTAGACCTAAACATAACTATTAAAATAAAAGTAAGATGCATGGCTAGAATTTAATTTTTAAAAAATATAAATACCATTTATATAATTAAGGTTTTATTTGAAAAAAATTTCTAAAATAGTTTTTTTTTAAACAAAAAAATTAATTCAAAAATTTTTTATACTAGAAAGATGATTAAGAAAATAGTAAGAAAGCTATCTAAAATTATTTCATTTGAGATATTTTTTTGTTGCTTTTTAAAATAATTTTTTATAAATTTTTTTTTAAATAAATTTTGTACTAAAAATTGATTTAGAAAGTATTAAGAAAGTTAAACAAATGAAGTTTAAGCCTAAGATTTAATTTAGTACGAATTATAGGCTATAATAATACTGGTATTTATAATAATATTGTAGATATGCAAGTAAACAAATCCGTTTTAGTTGTTGAAATCGAGTTGTGCATCCACTATAAAGTACATGCCCTCAACCAGACCAGAAGCACGGCATACCACTCGATCTCAGTGATCCGGGAAGCCAAATGGCCGCCCTTTGCTACTTACCTTCTTGTCACCGTTCTGTATCGAAGCTCCTCTCCAATTCCAAATCTCAAGGTCATCTCCACCCTAATTTATCAGTCTCCAACTCTAACCCTAACCCGAATATCTCAGGCGTTGGACTCCAGACTCGGCGGCGGTCATCCTCTTTTTCTATCAAAGCCTCGACTACCGCCTTTGCCCCGCTGGAGCACTCGGAGTCGACTTCTCTTGGAGAAATCATCAGGTCCGATTTCCCTATCCTTCGTCAGGTAAACAGTAATTCGATGGAATTTCTTTTCTTATATGGCCTCTTTGGTCAGAATTAGTTCTTGATGCGATAAATATCTTCATTTTGATGTTGAATTGATCTGAAGTTTAAGCTTTGCACGTTTCGTATCTTTTGAGAGTCGTTATTGAAGTTTTTTGGACGATTTAAAGTTTCTTCAGTTCGGAAGAGATTTATATTGAGCTTATATTGGATATTGCAGAAGGTTAATGGCCGTGATCTGGTGTATCTAGATAATGCTGCGACCTCTCAGAAGCCAAATTACGTTCTGAAGGCATTGAAAGATTATTATGAGTCTTCTAACTCTAACGTGCATCGTGGAGTTCACTATTTAAGGTATAGCAGAACTGTATTTTTCTTTTTAATGCTTTAGCTTCTGTTGCAGAGAAAAAAAAAAAAAGGCTTTTTATTGCTAATATCACATTCAAATGCATATTGGGGCACGAGAAAAGATTAAAAAAATGCCGTAGGGTTTCATACGATCTTGATAAGCATGGATGATAAGTTTTGAAAAAGGCTGAACTAGTTAAATTTTGAAAGCTACTAATGCTAAAGAATCATAGATGAATTCAATTAAAGGATTTATGAATTAGACTTTAGATAAGGTTACTGGTAGTCAGGCCATAGAATGAAAGCCTATTTATTTATTATATTATTTGCCCTGAAACATGCAATATAAATCAGTTGGGTGCCCCTTTTATGAATATATTAGTTTCCATGTATAATGCGAATTTCAGCCTATTTCTTTTATCATTTTTCACATATTTTTGCTGTTGTTGATTTTGATGTCACATCAAATTTTGATATGTATATTGACATATTATACCTCTTTGATCATTTCTATTCTAGTTGTTCGATAGAATAGTTTGGTTTTTGATAGGTATGCATTCCAGCCCCAATTAGGTTGTTTGTGTTGTCCTACTAGATTGTGTTTACTACCTAGCCCACTAACCTATCTATAGGCCACAGTCATGTCACTAGTTGATGAGTTTTATTCCCTAATTTTTCTCTATTGTTACGTAGCACATGATGCCTAACATGCATGTTCTAAAACTGTAAATTTTCTAGATGTATTAGAGTATAGTTATTTTTTGCAATATCTCACAATTATTATGTTGTCGATGAAGATTGTTTTCTAAGCACTATGTTAACCTGAATTCATCTTCACCATTTATTTGACTTCTCTTTGATGTGGTTATTAGTGGAATAAATGCTTCATGTTGAATAATTAAACAAAACTTTGATGATGGAAAACTAAATTATATTTGGCTTAATTATCACGATGTCCACGGATGTATGTATAGCTTATAAAATTGACTAGAAAATTGAAGATTGCTTGAAAATTGGAGCAACTTTTTGTTTTTCTGAGCTTGGATCAAAATCAACGAGACATGCCCTACTCATATCAAATTCAAATCGCACCAACCTAGAATAAATTGAGCTAGCGTGATATTAGATTGAAATGTATATGCTTATTGCCTTGAAGGCATGTCCTAAGTTCGGATCATTCACAAGCCCAAAAGGTATGATTAATTTGTAAAGATCAACTGTCCTACAAATAATCTTGAACTGTTTGCTTTGGTAGTCATAATTGTCTTTTGGAAATTTCCCTTCATAGGAAGACCGTTATCTATTACTAACTGGTTTGTACATGTTGCATCATCTTATATTTCTTTTGATATTAAAAAATGCCATATTGTAGAATGATAATGGTGAGGTTTATATTATTATTTCTCTGTAGCCGCACTTTTAGAGCCTCTTGGTTGTGAAATTTTTTATGTTAAGGGCCAAAGTACTCTTGACCATCACTGTAACTTTGTCCGGAACAACGTTAAAAAAAAAAAAAATCATATTTTTTGTACTTTCCATGCTACATGAGTTCTTAGGCAAACATTTTTGTTATACCCCAGTTTTTTGTTAATGTTTTCATGGTTCAAGCCTTATAATTTTTTGCTTCTTGTCATTTTGTTTGTTGCTAGTCAAAAAGCGACAACTGCATATGAGAATGCCAGAGAAAAAATCGCAGATTTCATTAATGCATCAGATCACACAGAGATTGTGTTTACTCGGAATGCTACTGAAGCTATCAATTTAGTAGCTAATTCATGGGGTGACTTAAACTTGGGCTTTGGTGATGAGGTATGCTTTCCCGTGTTCCTTGTTCTATCTTTGAGTATTTCTTTGAAATGCTATTGAGCATTTGTTTATGCATGTGTTCGATTCATTAAATTCCTTGCAGATTTTGAACTATCCACTTGATAACTCTACTCATCATCATTAGCTTTTTCTCTGTTACTGGGGACCTAAAAGCCAAAATTTCCAAATGTATTGTCATACCCATCTTGCTGCATTCCTTTGATCCTGAATTTTCTAGTTTTTTTTTCTTCTACAAAGATATTTCCCCCCTGCCCAAGAATAAGCTTTATAACAGATGACCGTTCCTTGTTTGTTATCTACTGCTTTTTTTTTTTTTGAAATACTCGGTTTGATATACATCCTCCTCTATTCCTTGTAAATATTCTTACTTATCCTTTATGATGCTTATTTTCCTTCAGATTCTCCTTACAGTTGCAGAACATCACAGTGCTATTGTTCCATGGCAAATGGTTGCTAAAAAAAAGGGTGCTTCTTTGAAATATATTGGTTTGACAGCAGGTGAAGTTCCAGATATTGAACAGTTGAAGAAGGCCCTATCAAAAAAAACTAAGCTGGTGGTTACCCATCATGTTTCAAACACACTTGGTAGGTTGATATTGTTATTAATAATTTCACATAATACCCGCTCTATAGGTTCTAGAATGAGAGAATATAAACACTTTTAATTGTCATTTTTCTTGTATTGGTATGTTTTGTAGACTTTTATATCATATTTCATGTATTATGTAATTAATACATTAGGTTGTATTAAATATTAAAACAATTTTTCAGATCTGATGTAAGATCTGTTGAGAATGATCATTGTATGGACAAAATTTTCGTTTCAACTTTTATTTCGCCTGGAGAATTATAACTTACAAGCTTTATCGTACTGATGCTGCAAATGTTGGCATAATTAGATGAAAAGATTATTGGTGAAAGGGAATTTTAAAATAATATAAATGAGGATACAATCTGAGTAATGTTGTACTGTGTTCAGGTTCTGTTCTTCCTATTGAAGATATTGTCATTTGGTCTCATGAGGTGGGCGCAAGGGTTCTTCTTGATGCTTGTCAAAGTGTTCCGCATATGATGGTGGATGTGCAAAAGCTCAATGTTGATTTTCTTGTCGCATCATCTCACAAGGTTCCCCTTTATTTTTATTATGCTGTCCTATTTTGATTCTTGTCATCAGTCTTTTAAGTTCATCCTTTGAGGGTGACTGTTAGAACGTGACAATCATATCTCAGATGTGTGGGCCTACAGGCATTGGATTCTTGTATGGTAAAAGCAACCTTCTGTCTTCCATGCCACCGTTTTTAGGTAAATAAAATTTTTAATATTAGTGTTTCAATTGAGCATTTACTCTTCACCATACATCTCGATCAATTTCTATTCTATATACAATGCGTATTATTAATTATTTAATTCTATTGACTTCTTGGCCAGGTGGTGGTGAAATGATCTCAGATGTATTTCAAGACTATTCTACTTATGCTGAACCTCCATCTCGGTAAGAAGCTTTATTTCTTTTTTCAACTCCTTTTTTTTTCTAGCCTTTTGCCTTTATTATTATCATTTTTTATTTCTTTTCTTTTTTCGGGAAATTTTTGATAGAAAGTGGTTGCACTTTTTTAAAAAATCAGCAAACGAAACATAAAAATTTGGGAAGAAGAATGACAAAAAATAATTTTTATTGAAAGAACTATGGAGAGAAAAAACATGATACAATTGGATCTTGTTGGAGAGGGAAGTTTTGACTCTCCCAAATCCCTAGCTGCAGCCCTTACAACATAAGAAAACCTAAATTCAGCAAAAAAAAGCATAAGCTCTAACCTTAGGAGAAACAATCTTCTTAAAGCATACATTAATCCATAGCAAAATCTCAAAACAGCCCATCCCTTTTCCCTCCTAGCCACCCCCCTCTTTCCAATTTAAATTCTGACCTAGCCCCCACTCCAAAGGGGGGCGGGAATCACCTGTTTTGCCTCTTGTACACGAGGGTCGGTCCCTCCTAGACTGGCTGGACTGGTCCCTTATGGACCGGTTTAACAATTTTTTACAAAAACCAACATCTTGAATTTTTGAACAAATAAAGCAATAGCAAGTTAGAATAATAGACTAGTTTAATAGGCAGATGTATCATTACTCATTTTAATCCCGAGACCTATCCATTTGCCAATTCCAATGAAAAATTGTCATCATACATACATGGCTGTGGCCAGATTAAAATCCACCTTTAAAGAATTGTTTTTGTAAAGGCAAACTTGGTCTGTTGATGCATTGGATTAAAACAAAAAGAATGGGGCAAAGAAAGTCAATTTTTAGATTTAAGTTCAGAATAGCATTCTTCCCTATTTTAACAATCATTCTCGTTGGGAATCTCTGAAATACACTCACGCTTTATGTTTTGAAATGTTTAAGGAGTGTTATTTCCGTTGTCACGTTGATGCTCCGCCTTAAATAATAAACCTATAGGAGGAATTTTTAAGATTTTTATGGACCTGAAAGTTTTATATCTAAAGTCTAGTTTTAAAGTTTATATTATCTTTTTTTTTTCTATTTTGATACTGCTGGTATAATATTCATATTAGGAGTTTAATATGCTTTAGAAATATGACGGTGATGGAGTAGAGCTGAGTTGAGCATACTATGGATTCAACTTAGTCATACTAAAAGTTGTTCATTTTCGGTTTGAAATGGAGCCAAACGAGACTTTAAAATTCTGGAATAAGAGGTGTAACTATGCAAATAAGATATCAGAACTAGAAAAGTATCTTTCACTCATGAATAAAGAAATAATATATCACTACAATTTAAGTAATTAAATAAGCTATACAACACCAACATCAAGCTTTTATCCCATTATATGTGGTCATCTACCCAAATCTTCTTTTTTTTTTTTAATTGTCTTGTTAAGAGTCTTATTCTCATTTAAATCTAATAAAAAATGTAATTTCTAATATTTTCTAATGCAGTCTTTTTAGGTATACCTCTATGTTTCTTAACATAGGTTAAATCTAATACATCTACGCTTCTAATCGGGTCATCGAAAGGCCTACGTTTTATGTGACCAAACTATGTAAGATGACTCTCTCTAATCTTATCTTCCATTGGAGCTACTCCAACATTTTCATGTATATACTCGTCTCGCATTTTTTCTCTAAGAGTGAAACCACTCATCCACCTGAACATCCTCATCTCTGCAGCACTTAACTTAATTTTATGCTTCTCTTTTACCAACATTCTATGCCATAAAACATCGCAGGTTTCACCACCATCTTATAAAATTTTCAATAAGTTTGAGGGGTACTTTTCTATCACACAGCAAGCTCAATGCATTCCTCCACTTCAACTATCCAACTTGAATTTTACTAATAATATCCCCATCTATTTCACCATCACTTTGAATAATAGAACTAAGATATCTAAAATGTGAACTCTTATTAATGACTTGATCGCCCAAAGTTACAATCTCCCCACTTGATTTATTATTGCTAAAATTACACACTATGTATTCGATTGTAGCTCTACTCAAACGAAAACCTTTAAACTCTAAGGTTGACCTCCATAATTCAAGTTACCTTCAACTCTCACTCTAGTCTTATCAACAAGAAGAATATCATCATCAAACAACATACACTAGGGTACATCCTTTTGTCAATGTCTTGTAAGAACATCCATGACTAAAGCAAAAAGATATGGGCTTAAAGCTGATCCTTGACGCAATCCAACTAAAATAGCAAAAGACATGGTCAAACCACCTTGTGTTTGAACACAAATAACAACTCATGCATACATATTCTTAATGACTTTTTTTTTTTTTTGAAGAAATGCTAGAAGCAATATTATTAAATGAAATCTAGATACTAAACAAACTATGACAAGAAATACTTGTTACATTCCTCCTTTAACAAGTTAAAGAAATTTGGAGGAACCTTATTACTATCTAATCTATCCCAAATGAAATCCGAATTACTAGCAAGGTTAGCACAATAATCCGCTAACTTATTGTAATCCCTATTCACAACTTGAATAATTACTTGATTAAAATTTCTCAAAAAGAAAAAATCACCTTGGATGGTGCCTTCATTCATGAAGTCCTTTTTGCTAAGCATTTCCTGCACAAACTTCATTACATTGAAGTTATCTCCTTCTATGATAATACCTTTTGCCTCATACATCCAATCTTGAACAGGCTTTCTCAATGATAGAATTGCTTCCAGCTCCAATATCGAACAATCCCGGTGAATGCCTTTAAATCCAAAGGCAAATAAAAATCTACCTTTACAATCTCTTATAATCCCGCCAACTCTTGATTTGTATGAACTATGAAGGACTGCATCAACATTAAATTTAATCCAATCGGTTGGAGGGGGGTTCCAAGTAGAAGAATTCAGCCTAAGCCGATTAGAATCCCAGTTGACCGAAGTTAGATTAAAGGCATTTGAAGAAGAAGCAAGGCTGACTGCATTTGCTACTATCATATTAACACTATCCTCTTTGCTTCCATGTATCATTTTATTCCTACTTTTCCAAGTCAGGGATACCACCGGACAATATAATTTGCCCATAAAAGAATTAGATTTAGACATAAATTGCAATTCCTTATAGCAATTATCCAAGCTGGAAAAAACAGGAAGTTTATAACCCCACATGTTAATAATTTTGATAACTTTTTGAAGGATTATACAATGGACTGCTATATGTTCAACATTTTCCACATTAACACATCCTCTCGGACAACCATTGTAGTTGATAAGTCTTTTATACATGAAGAATTCATTAGAAGGAATTGACTTATGCTCAAGTCTCCACCAAAACAATTCCACCCTTGGGCTTAATTTAAGGTCTCTTAACCATTTCCAATTTTTATCTTCTTCTTCATAGCTTCTATTGTGATCTGTAATCATACCAGACAAAGTTTTACCTGAATACTTGAACAATAACTCCCTCTCATCAGCAGGAAGTTCTCTATGAATAGGAATAGCATTGATTAATTTAACAAGTTCTTCACCGAAAACTTGTTTTAACTTCAAAATGTCCCAGCTGCTGCCATCATGGATAAAGGCATTTAAAGTACCTTGATCTTCTTGAAGTTCAGCCACAAAAGTTGGCCAACACTGAATACTCTTATCTAATAACCAGATGTTCTTTGACGTGTTAACTTTCTTACCATCTGCTATTTTCCATCTCATTACTTTTTGCAGAAATTTAGCTCTATTGATGATCTTCCAAGTGGAAGATCTCCCTTTAGAATTTTCTGAATTCCATAATTCTTCCCCATATTTAGCAATCAGAGTTCTATTCAGCGAAGTATTCGGATTTGAAATAAGACTCCAAGCAAATTTAGCCCGCCAAGGACCAAATTTTCCAGCAGCTGAAACCACACCTTGCCCTCCCCACCTTCTTGGTTTGCCAAAGTTTCCCAATCAACATAATGGAGACCTTTGCTTTTGTCTAGTTTCCTCCAAAGGAAATCTCTACTCAACTTATCTAATTCATTTAGCACTCCCATTTGAACTAAAGAGTGAGTAGAAATGAATATAGGTAGAGTTAAAAGAGATGATTTGATAAGAAGAAGCTTGCCTGACAAAGTAAGAGACCGATTTCCCCATGTATTTAATTTATCAAAAGCCTTTTCAATCAAATACTGAAAGTGTGCAGCAGATAATCTTCTCAATGCCATTCTTACACCCAGATAGTTCAACTCCTTCACTTCTTTAAAGCCCATAACTTTAGTAAGAGCTTTAAATCTACCTCTTCCAACAGATTTCCCAAAAAGCATAGATGATTTCAACACATTCACCTTTTTCCCCGTCCAGCTACTATAATCCTTCAAGATCTTTAGTATTTTCCTTGCACATTTACGGTTTGCTTCAGAAAAAAAGATAGTGTCATCTGCATATTGAAGATGGGAAATTTTTTCCGCTGAAGGAGCAATTTTGATGCCAATCTTTTTACCTCTTTGATTGAATGCTTCACTCAAAAGCTGCGAACACATAATGAACAAAAAAGGAGACAATGGGCAGCGTTGCCTGAAACCACATTTTGCCTGTATCCATTCTGTATTATTGCCATTGATAATGATAGAATATTTCGTATAAGTTACACATTGAAGTAAATAATTTGAGAATTTCCAAGGAAACCCAAGGAACTCTAACACTTGCTTCAAGGTCTCCCATCCCATACAGTTATAGGCCTGTTCCATATCCACTTTGATAGCCATCAATCCTTTTTTTGCTTTAGAAAATCTAAATTTATTAAATATTTCTTGAGTGAGCAAGCTATTATCAGATATTGATCTACCTTTAACAAATGCTACCTGATTTTCTGAAATCAGTTTAGGAATAAAGGCCATCATTCTATTCAATAGCATCCTTGCTATTATCTTGTAAATAGACTTACATAGACTTATAGGTCTATAGTTGGATGGAATTAGAGGATTTTTCGACTTTGGAATTAACACAACGGAGGTTTCCATCCATTCTTTACTCATAACTCCTACAACAA